ATAAAATGGTCTAAATAATAGAACATATTTATATCTTAGTGTCTGTAACCGGCTTTTTAAGCATGATGTGAAACTCAACAGCTAAAAAAGAAAAAACCGACAGATTTGTCTGAAGTAAATTTTAAGTTTCTACACAGTAAAAGATACCACAAATTTAAAGGCAAATGATAATCAGCAAAAAAATTTCAACTATAAACACAAAGCTTAAAAGACTTAATAAAAAGAAGTCTAAAAACGATTTTAAAAACGAAAATGGACAAAAAGTGTGAACAGTCAATTTGCAAAGAAAGAAAGACAATGATCAACAAACAGACCAAAATGAAATGTTCCCAACTTCATTAATAAGAAATACAAAATAAAATAACAGATACGATGTACGATTTTTACCCATCAGATTAGCAAAGATTACCAAGACTGATAATACTCAATATTAGCAACGTTGAGGAAGTAGCCATTCTCACTTACGGTTGGTAGACATGTTAGGTGGCTCCTTTGAAGGGGCCACCACACCTTCAGGGCGTTGAGGGTGATCTTAACTATTCTTTTATGTATTTTTCAAAATTTAGTTATAAGTAAATCTTACTTTTATAATAAAAAAGTAAGAGAAAAATAAAAACAGAGAAAAATGAAGAAAAATTATAGGGATCAACATTATTAGGATATAAAATCTTAAAGGTCAAGATTCTTATAAGGTTATTTGAATACTCAAGATACAGCACTTTGAAACGTACAAGGTTCCATCAATTTAAGGCATCATTATCATCAAGGACTGTTTCTTTCCTGTTCTGTAATTTTAAGTTTTTTGCATTATAAATAAGGGTACTCAAGATGCACTATTTATTATTGAGGAAAGCAGGCATTCAATAAACAGTTGAGTAAATAAATGATATAAACAATGATTAAGTAATATAATCATAATCTGTAACTCAGGGCAAGGTTGAAAAGAATTAGCCCATACAGTATAATCTAACATCCTAAGGAAATGCATTAAAAAAATTTACCAAACAAATTCACAAAATTCTGCTTTCTTTATCACGACTACCTTGTTTCTAATAAAATGAAAAATGTTAAAAGTCTTTAAGTTGAATACTAAATATTAGTTGGATGACTATACAAATGGATCTAGAAAATAAAGTGCAAAATCTGAAACATGCACATTTCACTATTTCACTGTGACAAAACACCAAGGCAACAAGCTCACCCTTCCCATGATCACTAAGCTTCAATATAAGCAGGAGGCTGTGATGTGTGCTGTGAAGAAAACAAGCAGGAAATGGACAAAGATGCTCCTAGGAATACATGCTGTTCTTCAGTGATTGTTTCCCACAGTATCTTAATATTCTTGATCTTCTCTTGTTGTTATTATTATGCAGTAGGAACAATTCCCAAAGCACTTAGGTAAGAAGCCACTACCCCCCAAATTCTGCAACATACTAAAAGGTTAAGCTTCAAAAGATATGAGTATTCTGGGGCCAGCCCAGCGGCTTAGTGGTTAAGTTCGCAAACTCTACTTCGGCACCTGGGGTCTGCGGGTTCAGATCCTGGGTGCGGACCTACACACTGCTCATAAGCCATGCTGTGGCAGCGTCCCATATACAAAATAGAAGAAAACTGGCACAGATGTTAGCTCAGGGACAATCTTCCTCACCAAAAAAAAAAAAAAAAAGATATGAGTATTCCTTGGTCAGATCATATTCAATCAAGAGAAACCTTTAAAGTGCTGAGACTATTAACTAGTTAAATTAATGTTTACTTAGTTCCTTCTCCTGGCCAAAAAACTAGGGGCCTGCACACAGTAAATAAAAGACAAAAACTGTCATAACTGAGTCAGTTGAAAAGCATATATTCAACACCTACTCTGCACGACACTCAAAGAGCTTATGCATTAATGAATGTGACCAAGATGGAAAGGGAATGCCCCATGTCCCATTAGCCGTATTACTGCTAGGTACCTTTAGTCATCAGGAATTTAGGGAGGGAGAGGGATAATCCAGTGGATGCCAACAAGAGAATACTCCTGACCTATACGTTATCCAAAAGAATGTGGGAGGACTGAAAGTAGAGGATCAGGAAGCAAAACCAAATTGCTTTATGGCCAGAAGCGATAAAGGTAGCATGGGAATGATTTAGTGGCAAGTGATTTTTTCCTGTTTGATCATGTTATTGCAACACTTACCTGCTATTCAGTACTACCTTGGAAACTTGCACTTAATATTTGGCTCACCAAAGACTGGAATTCAGAAATAAAGTGTCTAACATGCTAAGAGATATGACTTCATTATAAGAGCATCATTAAGGCAAAGGTCGCAGGCATGAGTCTAAAGCCTTTCTTGAATCTAAGATTGTTATTAGAACCCTGGACTTTTAGAGTTGGAGCAGACCTTAGAGATCACCTATCAGACCCGTTCACATTTCAGGAAGAGTTCTAGGCATTCTACTCAATACACATCATCTCATTAGACTCACTCATTTAGTCAACAAATATGTGAGTGTGTATTTACACACCAGGCTTTACTCTCGGTGCTGGAGATACCGCAGTAAGCAAAAGAGACAAAGTCCCTGCCTTCATAAAGCTTTTATTCTAGTGGGGGAGACTAAGCAAGACAAAGAAAAGACAAAACAAGGGAGTGGGCTATGAAATATCTTGAAAAGTTGGAAATTCTAGAAAGGGAGGTTTCACTTGACTTACTTTTGAGGGAGGAGCTAACAAGCGTGAGAGTACTGGCTATGCAGACACCCAGGGGAAGATTATCCCAGGCAAAAGGCATAGCAACTGCTGAGACCCTGTGTGGAGGCACGCTTGGCCCATCCAGGAACACCAAGAAGAGTAGTATTGCTGGAACGCGAAGCAGGGTGAAGACAGAGAGGCAAAAGGGGGCCAGATCCTGCAGGGCCTTGGACATGATGGCCTTTCTACTATAAGTGAAATGAAAAGCCATTGGAGGGCTCAAGTAGAAGAGTGACATGATCGGATTTATGTTCTAACAGAATCACCCACTGCTGGGTTGAAAACAGACTGAAGTGGGGCGAGGGTGGAAGCTCTAGCAAGAAAGAGAACAGTAGCCTTGGTTGTGGCAAGAAGTTGTTGAATTCTGTACATATTTTGAAGGTGAGCTGGCAGGATTTATTACTGGAACAAATGTGGAGAGTGCAAGAGAGGAGAAAAAGATGAGTCCAAGGTTCTGGCGCGAGCAAGCGGGGGAATGGAGCTGCCATTGACTGAGATGAGGGAGACCACAGGAGGCCCCACGTGAAATGCACACTGGACATCCGAATGAAGACTCAGGCTGGCAGTTGGGTACTCAGGACTCCTCAGGATGGTTCTGAAGCCTTGAGAATAGATGAGATCACCTAGCAAATGAGTATAGATAGAGAAAAGAAGTCCAAGAATGGAGCTCTAGGACAGTCCAACATTAAGATCAGAAAGAAGAGGAGAAGCCAACAAGATGGACCAAGGAGTGACAATGAGGCAGGAAAAAGAACAGAGTGTGTGTCCTGGAAGCCAAAGGAGGGCGGAGTGATCAAATGGGTCGGATGCTGCTGTCAGGTCAAGTAAGGAAAGGACTGAGACGCAGCCAGTGGATTTAGCAAGGTTGGAAGTCACTGGATCTTGAAAAGGGCAGTTTCAGTGGAGGGTGAAAACACGACTGGAGTGAGTTCAAGACACAAGGGAAAAGAGAAATTGGGGACAACATTCTTTCAAAGATGTTTACTGGGAAGGGAAAGAGACAAATGGGAGAGTAGTTGGAAAGAATCAGTAGACCTATGAGTCAGACTCTCCGACTGATGGCTTGACAGATCACAACATACTGCCCAAGTTACAAAATTTCTATATGGTGAGAGTCAGTTATTACGATCTCAGAGCTCATGTTCTTAACCTACACTCCACAACAGAGAGAAGAAAGCAAGACATTCATTTATCAACCAATTTATGGGAACCAGCCCTGCCTTCCTGTAAGCACAGACTATGTAAAGTTGTGGAATGCTTAAAGAAAACAAGCTATTAATCTTAACTTAAATTTTCCTATATACTATCTTTCATATCTAGAGCCTTTTCATGTTACTTTAATTGGAATTCTAAGAGGGAGAAAATGAGTGTCTTGACTACAAATGTTAACTTCACACTGGTGAAAGTTGCTGTCCAGGCCCATTCTTGCGGAGAGGACCAAACTTTTCACCAGGCAAGTATATTTGGTCATCTACTGCTTTGTGGCAAGTTCTGCAGACTTTTTATCTTACATTCTTCTTATTTTTAAAGTGAGTTCTGAGTTAGAAGCCAAGAGCTCTGTTCCTATGTCTGTCCCTAACAAGCTGAGTGACCAGGGGACTTTCACTTATTCTGTAAGGGTGACCATGTCCTCACCTACGAAACAAAGGAACTAGGCAAGTTTATTCTACTCTAAAACTATAGTATTCTATGGACTTACTTCATAATTCCTTAACTCATTGGATCAAGGACTGTGACTTTCTTTAAAGGCACAAAGTGTTTACGCAGTAGGCCCTCAATAAATGTGTCGTCCATTGATTGATGGTACAGTCTGGAATACAGTCACTAACGTAAAATGCTTTGTTGCGTATGTATTTTTCTTTTCATACCTCAACACACCTTGACTTGATCATTCTGGTACGTTGAAAATAAAAAGCACTGTGGTTCTCCTCGGTGTCTTCCCTTCCAGAAACCAACATCCCAGGACATCACCCATCGCCACCTCTCCCTCCCCATCCACCACATTCCTAACCAACCAGACAGCATTATAACCCAGCAATTTAACAGTTTAAAGACTTCCTAAAAGAGTCGATTTAAAAGTTTTGAGGAACAGAGTCCAGCATCTGAAGGAGTGAGGGGTCCGTCTTCGGAAGCGCCCGGCTTCCTGTCCCACATGGATCACCCACTCGGGGACACCGCCGCCCCCGAGGGTCCCTCACCCTCCTCCAGCCCAGACCGCCCCAGTGCCAGAGTCCAGGGCCCCAGGTGAGGGCGGCGGGGGCACAGCCTGTACCTGGCGGGTAATACCGGAGCAGGAGGCTCTTGAGCTTCATTTTCTCGCTCGCAGACCCCTCGCGGACTGGCTTCGTAGCCATGGAAACGGCCAAACAGCCGCGAGACACGGGCGCGCATGCGCGGGCGCCTCCGCGGGCTCCCGGGACGCAGCCTGCTGGGCGGGCAGCCCGGGGCGGACGGGCGCCGGTCCCGGGCCCAGCGAGGCGCGAGAGGGAAGCGCGCCCTGGCCCCGCGCCGCATGCATCTGCCTCGGGGTGCCCAGGGGCGGGCGGGGACTCCAGGGCGCGGCGCTGTGAATCCCGGATCTGCACCCCTCGGTGCGAGGGGTGAGCAGGGACTACGTCCCCTCGTGTTCTCAGTAAGGGTGACCTCACAAGGGGCGGGGCGCGGCCGGGAGGGATGGAAGAAAACTCCCGCTCCAGGTTACCTTTCCCGGCCCTTCCTCATGCCCTGTCCCTATCCCCACAAAAGAGAAATGACCTCAACGTAATAGCCTTCGTTTCCCGACGCTGTGCCATACACTGCGCTAAGCGCTTTCTGCACCTGTGTTCATAGAGTCCCAACAAAGGTATGAGTTACCCATCATTTAATATCACCGCCATCTCCGGGATGAGAACGGAGAATTAGAGAAAGTGAGGAACTACCCGGGGAAGCAACCTAGTGAGTGGTGGAGGCGGGATGGGAAGGCGGGTGTGTCAGCAGCCTGTACCTGGAAGCCTACCCCTGTGCTCTCAACCATGAGTTTAAGGCTTTGGAGTTCTTCTCTTGGCCAGTTTTATTTCTTGCCAGCATGGATTCTTTGCCTGCCAAGTCTGGTTTCCATCAGGAAGACTGGACAAGTAGAGTCAGCTAGTCAGATTGTCAGTTTCCTCTAAAGAATTTGGCCAAAGTCCCTAAATCGGAATTTCCCAAACTTGAGCAATTCCTGTGTTATCTTCACACCCGGGGGGCCACATCTCCTTATCACCCCTGTACCTCCATATCTAAGACTTTTCTTTAAGTTCTTACAATTTCTCTAAGTTGACTCCCTTGTTTTACTTCACATTTTAAAATGTAATTTAGAAGAAAATTGTTAATACTGTAAATTAAAATTTTATATAATTTTCAATGAAGAGCTGCAGGTAACTGTAAAAATAAATGCAATTTTTTAAAATGTTATTGAATTACTTTATACTATTGCCTGCCAAAGACTGTAAACAAAGGCTTTCTCTTTCTTTTTTTTTTTAAGAGGAAAAATTAGCATCTATTTGAAATTTTCAAGGCAGGTAGGCTAGCACTCAGCTAAGCCTTTTCACTTCATGTACTCAGAAGTTTGGAGAGATGACTGAAATGCGAAAATCTTTTCTACTAAGTGATACAACTAAACCTAATACAAATGGGCAACACATAAAATCATGTATTCCCATCAGCGGTAAGCATCCCGTACTTTGGAAACAGGGAACCAGATGAAATCTAAGATACCTTCTAGCTCAAACTTCCCCTAATCATTAAGACTCTGGAAAGCGTTTAAGTAGGGAGAGGCAAAGAGTTCATCTGTAGAAACTAGCAGATTTTGTTTATCCGTATTATTCCTTATGCTCATGCCATTTAAGATGACACCTTTGGAAAAATAGTAACTTTACAGTGGAGAAATACAGTGGAAAATACAGAGGACACAGCAATTCTCTGTTTCCTGCCCACAGTGACTTACCTGCCTCTAATCATGAGAACATCAGAGCAACCCAAAATGAAGAAATGGTACAAAATGACTGTCAAGTTCAAGAAAGAAAAAGATAGACTGAAAAACTGTTCCAGATTAAAGGACACTAAAGAAATAGAACAATTAAATGCATTGAGTGATCCTGGATCCTGGACCAGGGAAAAAACTTAGCTATAAAGGACATATTGAGACAACTGGATGAAATTTGAATAACGATTGTGGTTTAGATTGTATTATATTGATATTATATCAATATTAAGTTTCCTGATTTTCGTCATTGTGATTATGTAAGAGAATGTCCTTGTTCTTAGGAAAAACACACTGATTTCTTTAGGAGTAAAGGGATGTGATATCTGCAATCAACTCTCAAATGGTTTTGAAAAAATGTATATATAAGTATAGGGGTGCATGTGTGTGTGTGTGTGTGTGTGTGTGTTAGGATAGGTAGATCAATAAGAAATGATAAAGCCAATGAGCAAAATGTTGAATCTAGGCAAAGGGTCCCTATTGAGGAGTTCCTTGTACTATTCTTGCAGGTTCTCCAGAAGTTTGAAATTATTACAAAATAAAAAGTGGCCTTTGTTTCCCACAGGCCAAGCCAGGCTTCAGAATGTTCCAGATGTAGGTGACAATCACAGAATTACTTGGCTCCACTTTTGTTTTAAGAGAGCCCCAAGTTCAGGTTCAATCCTGTTTCACCCCAATTCCACCTCCATCTTCCTCTAGTCCAAGAGCCTCCATCATTGTTTTCTACTCTTCACCACTCCCTCCATTCCCATGAGTTCCTGTCCTTTCTAAGTGGCTCTTTTCTTCCTGTTCCAGGTGGATGATTTCCCCTACTTCCTTGAACCAAACTTTTAAATGTTGTCTTTTTGCTTTTTAAAAAAAGAATTCTAGCTCGGCAGATTTTTTTTTTTTAATTTTTTGTTTATTGCAGTAACATTGGTTTACAACATTGTAAAAATTTCAGGTGTACATCACTACACCTCCACTTCTGCACAGATTACATCATGTTCACCACCAAAACACCAACTACAACCCATCACCACACACATGTACCGAACCATCCCCTTCACCCCCCTCCCTCCCC